AAAGCTCAAAAGTAATTTGGTCAGGACTGGGATACCTTTAGGAAGCACCTGTCTGTTCCAGGATGTGCCAGGAAAATACTGCTAGATGAGACACCCTACCCTGAGTCACCATAGAGCTGGTGCACAGATTGAAGATCCAGACAACTGCTTGTCCTCCCAAGCCCCATTTTCTACCATTTTTCTATTGACAGAGATGAGATGCATATTTCAGGATGGTGTAGAACTAAGGGATTTTTTTGTACTTTCAACAGTTGCAGATGTTTTGATGTCCCTCTTCTCTCTTCCCTCTCACCTCCTGTATTTAGAGGTGTTTGCTTCAATGTCAACCAGATTTGACAGTTGTTTCCTATGCATTTCTTTAAGCACAGGTGCATAACACTGCTGTCAAGAGGAAGAAATGTGGGTTTTCACATGTTGTCTGAAAGAGGCCTGACATTTGTATAATGTTTCTTCAGTCCTACACCATTGCATATCACTGGGGTTTCATAGCACGGCAAAAATCACTTTGCTGATGTTTGTGGTTTACTCTCAGTAATACGTCATATAGGGAAAGCTTTCCACAAACCCTAAGTATTCTGAGGGACATAAATGGAATAATTTCCATTTCCCTTTTTATTCATGGCGACCAAATGACATGAGCTGTTTTGCTCTGCAGTTCTACACTGTTGCAGGTTAGGTTAGATTTTGAAGCTGCTTCTTATTTGTTTTAGGTCATTGGGAAAGAGTAAAACTGAAAGGAACCATCTCCAGTATCCCAATCTATAAAGTCAAACATTGCTCTTACTTAGAACTTCCTTTATCTAAGAAGGAAGTTTCTACCAGGAACTCAAACTTCACAGGTTCAAATGCCCTTTGCAACAGAACTTCTCATGTGAAATACATATAACCAATTCACACTTGTATTTGCTCTGTTATAAATGCAGACAAATAAGCCAAACTCTTCAAGGGCATCTGTGTATTCTAGATGTAGACGGAGGAAAACAGGTGGAGAAGGAGATGAACTAGTGCTTATGTGTCAGCTAAGCAGGTTATATTATATCAGTCACTGGCAAGAAGATCGTGAATAGTAGTAGACCAAAAAACGCTGTCTATTTGCAGTAGTGCCTGTGTTTCTAGATTGTTATTTTTGGTCAAGCTGATATGAATATGGGAAATATTGAGAAGGATTGTGGTTTTGTATGGTTTCCTTTGCTTTTTTTCTTTGTTTTATAAAGTCCTGAGATGTGCTTGGGAGACCCAGAGCTTCTGTTGTATTTCATTGTATTACTATTAAATTTATTATTAGAGAAAGCAATTACCTAGAAAGAAACATATTTTCTGAGCCTGGAAATTAAATATCAGTTTTGGGAAAGCTTTCAAAAAGATAAAAGAGAATTAATTGGTGATGGAGAAGATTTTAATGTCTGTGGAAAATATTTCCCTGCCTTTTACCCTGATTCCTCTAGGTCACTCTCTGCATCGTTGTTCCTTTTGGCATCCAGAGGCTGTTCCACAGGTATGGCCATTTTATTTGTGCTTGTACACCATTGACTGTAACATTGTTTGTCATTTCTGACCTGTGTGCCACAGGTTCCATGTTAGTGACAAAAGGGTTTAGTTAACATACCTCATTTTATAGCTTCATGGATGAAATGAAAATGCCCTCATCAATTCGACTGTAAGCCTGGCAGGATACAGGTAACCTGTGTTTATGCACTACCAAACACAAGCATCTCCACTATTGATTAGATTAGTACCTTCGGGCATTAATTTAACATATATATTTAATAACAATAATTAAACTAATTCCATCTTATTCCAGGCACAGCAAGTATTGAAACACTTCTGGTATTGATCAGTTTTTTTGAACTGCCCCATAATGATATAAATGGTTTTATGCACTGCAGTAGGTTAACTTATTTGTCTTCCTGCTGATCTTGGGTGTAAAAGATGTATCAGGTGGCCACATGTACCTACATTTAATTGAGTTCAATAACATCCCAGCTAGCTACTGGGATAGAAGTACCATGTACCCATACCTTTCCAGGTGAATTAGAAATGCTGGCTGTATGGTAAACTATATGTTGCCAAAGTGGAAAATATTCTGCACCTTGCACTGGTGAAAACACATGTTCTGTCTCTATATTGTGAAATTCCAGTTGCAGATAGTGTGGACTAAAGGAATTATCACAGAATCTCAAGAAACCACAGTTTTGTTGCAATAATTTCTGTTTTTATCTCTTCTGCTGCTTATCAAAAGACTGCCAAGAAGTAGGAGGCTCTCATCTTGACTTCCTACTGATATTAGGAGAAGTAGTTTTCTGTATGTCTTTCCAAACACTTTCTGAAACATTCCAGCTGGCAAGATAATTTGTGAGCTATACTCATTCAGCTGCTAAATTGTTTGTAAACTGTATTCCTTGCATTGATTATGTTCTCATCTCCCAAATAAAGAGCTGTGGATGTATTTATAGTCTGAGAAAGCTGGACCCGTGATAGGAGCTTGCAGTTTTAGTCATTGCTGATCATCTGATATAAAAGCAAACCTAATGAGGAGCATGTGCTTCCTCTCGCTGGCTTCTAAGTCTGCCCACATGTTGTCAATTGAGTTGGGTGGATCAGAGCAGTCAGCATTCAAGACTTCTGAGGATTCAGGTTTGTGAGGGCATGTTAAGTCCCAAACATCAGAAGGACAGATCAGTAAAGACTTCAGAAAATACAGCTATATATTTATGAAATTGTTTTGCAAAGCAAAGAATGAAATGCAAAACCAAAGATCACAAGTTATGTAGTGATGAGTCGATGATTTAAAAAGAAATCTAAAGTCTACTATTTTCAAGTGTCCGAAAATTCTGTTGTCTCAGGCAGGCCTTCCTATAGGTTCTTGTACAAATACACTAAATTTGCTTCTGAAACTTCAGTGATTGTGGGGAAAATGTTCCTGTATTTGTATTTGTCTAGAGAACTCACTTTATTACAACAAACTCACAAAAGTCTTGAGAATACTTTATTCTTCTGTTTGATTTAGGAAACAACCTCTAATTGATGTCAATTATTATAGAGTGTAACCAAAAGATGGCAGCAGCTCAATTTTTTTTTTTTTTCTACCAAGTAGACAAGAGACTGAACTTATTTACTGTTTTATGAGTTCTACTGTGTTGTTGGAAAGGAAGAATGCTATGGATGCTATTTCCTATTGGAAAAGAAGTGATTAAAATGATTTGAGAGGTAAAAAATGCTTTGCAGTTTTTGTGTAAACATATCTGCAAACTTACTTTCATTAAATTGCTATTGGTTGGACACTGCCACTGGTATTGCATCAAGCAGAGAATAAACCACATTGAGAGGAGGCATGTGTCAGACCAAGTAGCAATGTGTTTGTTTAAACACTTTCATGGTGAACAATTCCCGGATGGGACTTCACCCTATAGTGGCAAAAAAGATCGAAAGAGAATTAGCTTCCCCAAAAACGAGGTAATGGATAGGGGACCAGAAAGACTGACTGAGACATGTTTCCTCAGCCTTTAGCAATGAACCTGTCATTATTTCTACTGTGCAATCTAAATACCTGTTTGCTTCAACTTTCCTGGTGATGTTCATGAAGGAAATGATTAATGAAATGATCTTTACAGGTCTTCTCAAAGCCCTGTAAGGTCAGGGGGAAGATTTCCAGTTACTTCATTTGTTTCCAAACCAGCTGCAGTGTGGTGGCATCCCCAAAGTGCCTGAAATTGTGCGATGTGCAAATATGCACCTTATGCTGGGTTTTGTATTATCAGTGCTGTCCAGAGGCCATAACTATAGAGAAGATACCTCTCTTAGTCCGTGGGGAAAGGGAAGAAACTGTTTGTTTGGCTTACAGTGCAAAAAGATTCCCAAAGTACAAAACCAAAATAACCAAGCAGTCAAACAAAAAAGCCTTTACTTCCTCCCAGCCCTCAGGATTTTCAAGTTCAAAAACCTCACAAAACATATCATATGTTTTCAAAAACATAAAAAAAATAAAAGCTTATAACTTTCTATGTTTTCCAAAACATAGAAAATCCCTTAGGAAATGGTTTCTCATAGTTTCACATTTCCTTACAGGAGATTGCTCAACAACTCTTAAGCAACATTTCCATTCTGCGCAAAGCAAAACCAAAAGCTTGTAGTGTTCCAGTGTTCATTCATTTGCTGCTGTAACTGAGCAAGTTTACTCCTTTGTAAGGTGAATATGAATTAGGAACATAATCTGGTAACTGATCTTCACAGTAGTGAAGTGGCATTATCACCTTGTTAATGTTTCTCACATTCCTGGGCTGCATCCTTTCCCTCTACTCTGCTTTCGTGAGACCTCACTTGGAGTACTGTGTGCAGTTCTGGTGTCCTCAGCATAAAAGGCCATGGAACTGTTGGAACAAGTCCAGAGGAGGGCCACGAGGATGATCAGGGGACTGGAGCAACTCCCATATGAAGGCCGGCTGAGAAAGTCGGGGCTGTTCAGCCTGGAGAAGAGAAGGCTGCGTGGAGACCTCATAGCAGCCTTCCAGTATCTGAAGGGGGCCTATAGGGATGCTGGGGAGGGACTCTTCATTAGGGACTGTAGTGATAGGACAAGGGGTAATGGGTTAAAACTTAAACGGGATGTTTAGATTGGATATAAGGAAGAAGTTCTCTCACTGTGAGGGTGGTGAAGCCCTGGAATGGGTTGCCCAAGGAAGCTGTGAATGCTCCATCCCTGGCTGTGTTCAAGGCCAGGCTGGACAGAGCCTTTGGTGATATGGTTTATTGTGAGGTGTCTCTGCCCATGGCAGGGGGGTTGGAACTAGATGGTCTTAAGGTCCTTTCCAGTCCTAAGTATTCTATGATTCTGTATTTAAGCAGGACTAATATATTTCAGGACTAATACCTGATATTCAACCAGTGTGGCACACCACTGCAGAAACACTTTGAGTAGTTGAAGGCTGTCCTGATCAGGGGGGCATTTTTTTGTTTATTTTATATGATGAAACTCTCACTAGCATTTATTTTTTGTAGCTCAAGGTTCCAGGCTGAAGATAAACATAGGGAATAAATAAAAGAAACAAGTACAATGTGTGATTCATATACTTTTGGCTTCAGAACAGAAGCAGTTTGCCCTAAGAAAGCAGGGTGAGTACAACTTGCTTTTTTCTACATAAGGTTTAAAGAGAAAGTCTACAGGTGGAAAGGGTCACAAAGACTCTAATAGCTGAAATGTGATAGAAGATCTGTGTGCCTTTTTTACAACTGTCACCTTTTTTGTACCTTTTGATTTACCCTGATATTAGATAATTGTAATTTTACAACTCTGAATTGTTACTGAATTTTATTTCAGCAGGGGAAAAATGAGTTTATTCTTTGTACCAGTAAAATTAGGTTTAGCCTCCTGCAGTAATTCTAGTTCTTTCTTCATAACCCTGATGTTATTTTTTAGACAACTGCTATCTATGGATGAGAAAGCATACCTTGTTTTATTTACAGGTCTTCAGCTTCACAGTCCTTTCAACTAGTGCAGTGCAGTTAGCATCAAGCCAAATTTACAAGCCAGGAGAGGCTGACATCAACGGGAGTTGTCTCACAAAGGAGCATACAATGTGACTCCAGAAGAGGTACATGAACAATCTGAGCTCTTTGTTAAATGAACAAAATGTTGGTGTTTGTGGCGAATTAAACATCTGCATTTCACTTCAAACATTAAACAATCTTTGAAAATGCAATTTCCCCTGCTTTTATTAAATTCAAGTCTGACAAAACTTGTCTGTCAGAAGTACTTCTAAAAGGAGTGACCAGTAAAGAATGGTGTCTTTTATTGCATTGAAAAACCAGATGTACTAACTTTTTTCTTTTTTTGTTATCTCACATATATACCCTTTGTTTCCATTACTGGTCTTTCCCACTGCATTTACTTTTTGTCTATGTGGTCATTAATTTATGTGCTAAAATTCAAGGCTTCTCAAGAAAAAGCTGTATAGGAAGAGGATCAGTCTCATAGTTATACTTAAGGTTAAAGATTGTTTTCCTTTATTTTTTTCAGGAAGAGTTTCAACATGATCGTCCAATTTTATACCCCCCTCCTGCCCCCCCCCGGGAAAAATATGAAAATATTTAGAAATGTAAATATTTTCTCAAAAATATTTGAGAAAACCTGGACTATGACATTATTTTACATTAAACCCCAGGAGAATTAAAACTGTGTATGATTTTTGTTATTTTTTTGGTGAAGAATTTGCTTCTCAAAATGTACTATTTCAGACACTACAAAACGAAGAAAAATATGTCCCAGAAAACTGTTGTAATATTTCCAAAAAATATTTGATGTCTGAATTTGATTAACAATGAGATTTGGATGCCATTAAAAAAACTAAGTCTGTTGAACAGGGTTTGGTTTTGTGATGACCTGGTCTACTCCTCTGATCTACTCATAGGATGAAGACCTAAAGTAAAATTTCTTCTTGAAGTGAACAAGGCAGTATTAATGCTCAATTAACCCATATTTTGCATGATTTTCCAACAGAAAAAGGTGAGACTTGCTGTTGTGAGTGATATCCCTTATTTCACACTATCCAGAACCAAAATGCTGTAACTCAAAAAAGCTGTGGAGAGGGAACTCTGAAAGAAGTTCACAGGCAGGAGCTGACAATAGTTCCCTGAGGCTGAACATGTCACTGATCCAGGCAAGCAGTGCTGGCCACAGCTGGCTCTTTTCTTCTCCTAGAGAAGTCTTCAGAGGACACAGCCAGCACATTCCCGCAAAAGCCAGGCCTGCTCCATGACAAACCCTGGCCTGGCATGGGAGCAGTCCTTGGACTGCCTGCAAGTCTTCTGCGATCCAAGAGCAACAGAATCACCACCTTTGGTACACAGGGTCAGCTACATGAGACATTCATTTATTTTTTTCCCTTGATTGTTCTCTGACTCTTGCTTGCTGGCGTTATTAAGCATGCCTGATTTGTTTCTCCCTAAATTAAATGTTTTGTTTAATCTCAAATGAACTGTCTTAATTGGTTGAGTATGTGGAAACATTTCAGTCTGGGATTGATATAAACCAATTATAAACCAGGCCTGTATCTAGTGGAGTGCCTCAAGGGTCAGTACTGGGACCAGTATTAATATATTCATCAATGATTTAGATGAGGGAATTGAGTGTACTATCAGCAAGTTTGCTGATGACACTAAGCTGGGAGGAGTGGCCGACACGCCAGAAGGCTGTGCTGCCATCCAGCGAGACCTGGACAGGCTGGAGAGTTGGGCGGGGAATAACTTGATGAAATATAACAAGGGAAAGTGTAGAGTCCTGCATCTGGGCAGAAACAACCCCAGGTTCCAGTATAGGTTGGGGAACGACCTGTTAGAGAGCAGTGTAGGGGAGAGGGACCTGGGGGTCCTGGTGGACGACAGGATGATCATGAGCCGACACTGTGCCCTTGTGGCCAAGAAGGCCAATGGCATCCTGGGGTGTATTAGAAGGGGGGTGGTTAGTAGGTCAAGAGAAGTCCTCCTTCCCCTCTACTCTGCCCTGGTGAGACCTCATCTGGAATATTGTGTCCAGTTCTGGGCCCCTCAGTTCAAGAAGGACAGGGAGCTGCTGGAGAGAGTCCAGCGCAGGGCAACTAAGATGATTAAGGGAGTGGAGCATCTCCCTTATGAGGAAAGACTGAGGGAGCTGGGTCTCTATAGTTTGGAGAAGAGGAGATTGAGGGGTGACCTTATTAGTGTATATAAATATATAAAGGTGGAGTGTCACGAGGATGGAGCCAGGCTCTTCTCAGTGGCAAACAATGATAGGACAAGGGGCAATGGGTACAAACTGGAACACAAGAGGTTCCACTTAAACTTGAGAAGTAACTTCTTCTCAGTGAGGGTGACAGAACAGTGGAACAGGCTGCCCAGGGAGGTTGTGGAGTCTCCTTCTCTGGAGACATTCAAAACCTACCTGGACACATTCCTGTATAAACTTACCTAGGTGTTCCTTCTCTGGCAGGGGGATTGGACTAGATGATCTTTTGAGGTCCCTTCCAATCTCTAGCATACTGTGATACTGTAATAAAACCCACCTTTCTTTTTTTTTTTTTCTTTTTTTTTTTCCTTTTTCCTGTTGGCTACCAAAAAAAAAAAAAAAGAAAGAATTATTTGTGTGGTTTCTGTTTTTCTGTTTTAACATCAGCAGCAGAGGAATTTGGTAGGATTGTTCCTTTGTTCAACTTGAAAATTGACATGAAATGTGAAGCTATATGATTCTATTATTAAAACGAAAGCAAGCTCAGAGAAGCAGATAGGTTAGAGAAGAGTGGATAGTTTGCATCCCTGGCAGTGTTCAAGGCCAGGCTGGATGGAGTGAGGTGTCCCTGCCCATGGCGGGGGGATTAGAACTAGATGATCTTAAGGTCCTTTCCGACCCTAACTATTCTATGATTCAATGTGTTTCTTTCTAATACTCTTGAATTTGGTCTGAATTTATACTGGAGTCTCTTAAAAGTTGATATTATTTGGGATTAAGGGTTTTCTTTATGTATAGAAATAGTTCTGGATATTGACCTTAGTTTGCTTTTAGGTGATGGACACATTCTGGTCCAGGGTGGTGTTCATTCGGCATTAAATAATGTGAGCAGCAGATTTAGATGAGAACACTATGACAAATTTCAAACTTGTTAAAATTCTATAGGCTTTTTTTGATCAAGGTTTCATATTTTAAGTCAGCATTAGAGTTACAAATTCCAGCCAGTGTGAGCTTCAGCATCTTCAACTGGGATTTCCAGATCAGGTACATCTCTAGAGAAAATAAAACATAATGTGGAGGAGGAGACAGGATGAAAGACAGGCAAATAATGTTTCATGCTTGTTTTACAATAATATAGTAGAGAATAAGAATGGGAATAGCGCTGTTAGAAACTATTCAACACAAACATGATTGAAGAAAGATGAATGAAGGCTTTGGCTGTATCTTGTTGCAGAAAGGAATAAGATGTGTGATGGAAAACTCAAGGCACCTCTCCCAAAAATCCAAGGAGAAGCTGTGGCTTCTTCTGCCCTTTATGGGGCAATCAAATGGTTGATTCTCAGATGTAAACTAGGAATTAAAAAAAATAATTCTTTTTCATCCAAGCACAAATTAAATAACTTCAATTTGCTTTATCTGCTGTGGCATCAAAGAGGTGGAAATCGATCATTTAGGTGCTGGTTATGGATGTACTCACCCCTCCTTTTTCTCCTCCTCTCCTAAAAGTCATCCACCATTTCAGACTGTCCCTTGATATGCTAGAAACCAAATTAAATGCATACAGAAAGCAGTTACCTGGTAAATTTAGCATGGACTATGTGTGACATATCTGCCAAGGACAGCTCACATGAAGAATGTAATAAAGAATATGAAGTAAAGTCAGAAGATGATGTTTTGAGTAGGCTAGATATGTCATTAGAATCAGTCCAGGAGTAATTTTTGACAAATGATCAATATTATAATATTTTTTTTTAGATTTTATTTATTTCTTTATTTACTTATTTATTTATTTTAATATACAGGAATTACAGCCAAAAATCATAACCGAATGCTTAATATCTTTAATTTAAAATTTAACAGTACAAGTTACACTTTTGAAGCACTGCAAGATACAATACAGACTTCCTGTCAGACACACTTATGTCCTTCTTCAAGTCCAGAGTGTCAGATCACATTCGGGTTTTCTTAACAGCAAGGAGGGCTTGGAATGTAATTGAAAGAAAACAAAACCTGATGCACAAGTTCTGTGGAAAACAGTGACTGAGTCAGTAGCCACGCTTTCTGGGAAACCTGTCATAGAAAAAAAATAGGATAAATTAGTCATCTACGAGTATCTTATGTTGTAGAGAAATTAAGTTTCTCTAAACAAGTGAGTCTTTGTAGTTATTTGATGATCATATTGAAATGTTTGAAAGTACTGCTAATGGCCAATGTTTGCTGTGAGTGCTGGACTACGTCCTAAAGCCCTGCACTGGCTGTGCTGATAGGTTTGTTCATCTGCATAAGGGACTGAAACACCTTCACAAGTGTTGGTTTCACAGCATTAGCTCCAGCTTTGTAAATGCTTCTCGTTCTGTAAGACACAGGGTTCTGAAACAGCATTATCCACTTCCCATCTGCCTTTCCATTCCCATAATGTTGCTACAAAGTGTCTCCTCAACAATAATACTGGAAGCACAAGGAGAGAAAACTGTGACTTCTTTTCTCCTCTGAAACTGCCTGCAAACTAATCCCCACTCAAGTTTTATACTGGAAGCTATTTATTAAAGCGAAAAGGTTAAGAGCTTGAGTGGATGACTTTTCTCCAAGTTTTTCTGGTTTTCAGTCTCTCTTCTGAAAACAGTTTTATTGACAAAAAAAAAAAAAAGAAGAAGAAAGGCTATCTCACCAAATGTCACATACCTCACTCTACATTTACTATGTAGATTAATTTAATTTTTTCAGTTCTTGGTAGATGAGATATTGCTCCTATCACTAGGAAAACCAAAGAAAGGAAATAGTTTAGAATAAGTTGAGTTAGTTATTCGTGAAGTCGTGGACTTTTCCCCCCTCATGTCAATAGTTAAATTGATTTTATAATGGTAATGCCAACAACAGCTCCTCCAACAGGCCTCCATTTGATTATTGTACTCTGGTTTTTGGCTGCCAATAATCTTCACTGATATTAGTTCTACCTGACCCCTTTACTGTTATTTTTACAAAAGATAGTGAGGGTTGAACTGAGCTCCCTTCTTTACAGGTGATCAGATCAGGATTAGAATACGTTGGCAGGGCAATAACAACACATCACCTTTTATTTGGTTATGATTTACTCAGTCCTAATTTATGAAGTTTCTACCCTCAAAGTAAATTGCCCATTTAGTTTATCATATTTTTTTGCATACAGTCATACTACTGTAACTCAGTGAAGACTCTCAGTGTCAGTTTTCTATTTTCACTGTTAAACAAAAGTGAAATCATGACTTGGAGGCCAAATATAATGCAGTGGGAATAAATGGGATTCTTTTTTCCCCCTAACTTCACAATTTGTCTAATTACCTGTTATCTAAATTAGGTAATATCTTAAAGTGCAAGCAATTTAAATAATTGCCTAATACTTTTAACTGAATTTGGATAGTTTCCTTTAAAAACTTTGCCTCCTGAAGCAAACTTTTTACCCCATAGTAAAGTAGAAACTGAGTATAAATGTTGCTTTGAGGAGAATCATGTGGAATCAAATAGCCTCTTGCCTTTCTACAGTGAGCTGTGCAAAATATGCAGAGTGGGATTTTGGTCAGGAGATTGAGAGATTAATACAGAACCGATGTCTCTTTGCAGAGGGGATAACCAGGGACTTTTCATGTATTTAATCACTCCAGAAAAGGCAGCTGAAGTTGCGTTTTTTTTCATACTGATTCAATGAAACATCTTGATTTAGGATCTTTGGGATTTTTTCTGGATGCCATTGCACACTGCAACATATTGAGCAAAAAAAAAAAAAATGGTGAGTCCAGTAGACTAGTACCTACAGCTTCGAGATAGAAATACAGAATTACCACATATGCAAATTTTATGGAAAATGTAACATGAAGACTCAATGTGCTCATACATACAATGCCGGCAAATAAGAACAGTAATACTGTAAGACTCTTGATAAACTGTGTTTATCTATATTCACACTTCTACTTTTTGAAACTCTTGAAAGCATTATCCTTAAGTTTTCCCTGGATTTTTCTCATAAAGAATACATTGTGAAAATAATGTTGTCATCCTGAGACAAAGAGTTGGAATATATTAATCTGATAGGATTGTTAGGAACATTAACCATTGGTAACCTTCCCCGCTAATACTGAACGCCATTGGAAGTAACCATATGTGCAGTCTTTAGAACATGGCTCACGTACAACAACTTTGAAGCTGAGATTAAGAATGTAAAAAAAACACCCCAAGACCTAGTCATACATGGCCATGGATCAAAGTCTGGAATAGAACAAAGTAAGTGTCTCTTGAGTCTGGTTTTCCATTTGCTTTTTACAAAATAGGTGCTGGAGAATCTGTGATTTATTTC